AACATGACGTTGATTTGGGGCACGCCTCGGGGCGCCGGAGGAATGCCCGTCAGCTCGAATTTGCCGAGCAGATTGTTGTCTTTGGTTCTCGCTCGCTCTCCTTCGTAAACTTGGATCAAAACCCCTGGCTGATTGTCGGAGTATGTGGAGAAAATCTGTTCCTTCTTTGTTGGGATTGTGGTGTTCCTTGGAATTAGGACTGTCATCACGCCGCCGGCGGTCTCTAGACCGAGACTGAGCGGCGTCACGTCCAGCAGCAGAAGATCTTGAACTTTCTCGTCGCCTTCTCCGCTCAGAATTGCAGCCTGTACACAATCGTGGAAATAGTTGATAGTTAATATTAGCTGATTTTGAAGAACACTACATAGAGAATCTTTAAAGATTATGGAACCATTTTAGCCTAATTTCAATTCCAGTTTCTTAAAAATCAAGTTCAGAAACACTATAGGAAGTTATCTAAATCAAAACATTTTCCATTACCTGAACAGCAGCACCGTAAGCAACAGCCTCATCGGGGTTAATGCTTTTACAGAGCTCCTTCCCGTTGAAGTAATCCTGCAAAAGCTGCTGAACTTTCGGAATTCTTGTCGATCCACCGACCAAAACGACCTCATGAACTTGGATTTTATCGATTTTAGCATCACGGATGCATTTCTCAACTGGTTCCATACACTTCATGAACATATCCATACACAATTCCTCGAATCTAGCCCTCGTTATCGTCGCATAGAAGTCAATTCCTTCGTAAAGAGAATCAACTTCAATCGTCGTCTGCGTGGTCGATGAGAGCGCTCTTTTTGCTCTCTCGCAGGCGGTCCTCAGCCTCCTCAGCGCCCTCGCGCTGCCGCTGATATCCTTCTTGTTCTTCCTCCTGAACTCTGTGACGAAGTGATTGACCAATCGGTTGTCGAAATCCTCGCCGCCGAGATGAGTATCGCCGGCGGTGGCCTTGACCTCGAAGATCCCTTCCTCAATGGTCAAGAGTGACACATCGAAAGTTCCACCGCCGAGGTCGAAGATCAGCACGTTCTGTTCGCCTTTACGAGAGGCCTTTTTGTC